TGAAGGGGAGCCGCCTCCGCGTGCGAGGCCCCTGCTGCGTGCGGAGCGCGGCGGGGGTCTCTCCTGCCCAGGGCTTTTCGGTAGCGAGGCCCTCGGGTCAGGGGGAGGGGGCGGCGCGCTCCCTCGACGTCTCGGCCTCCGGTGAGGGGAGCTCGGTCCTGCCCGCCCGGGCCCGAGTCGCGGCCGGACCCCTGCTGGGAGGCGTCCGCGTTGGGGGGCCGAGGGTGCGCCTCTGGCCTGTGCCTCTTCCTAACCTTGAGGTCGTCGCTCCGTCCTTCCAGGCAGTTCAGTAAGCTCTTGGCACGGCGCCGGGGTCCCGAGGTGAGAAGATCAGTAGTTGGACAGAAACTTGCGCGGGGCACGCGCGGTCGCGTTTGCGTCCTGGTTCCATTCGGTCGTTTGGTCTCAGGACTGCTTCGATAGTGGTGTGAGCGTTGAGCTCTTTTCTGCCTCTTTCTTTGTAGCCTGTTTTTGTGTGTTGTGCGTCATTTACGCATTTGGGGTTGGGGTCCCGCTCACTCGGTTGCCCGGGCCGGTTGGAGTGCCGTGAGTAGCACAGTCACAGCTCGCACAGCCTCATCCTCCTGGGCTCAGGGCACCCTTTCACGTCAGCCTCCTAAGTGGGTGGGATTGCCGGAGCGTGCCACCATCTGGCTAGTTTTTTGTTGTTTGTTTTTTTATTGTTGATTATAAACATTTATTAAGCACCAGAAGTATACTGCTGTGGTTGCTCTAATTTTCTTCGTTTTTAATTAATTAATTTATTTATTATAAAGATGTGGGGTACAACTCAGGACTAGGTATACAAACATTGATCATGCAGGTACCCTTGTTGATGAGGCGTGTCCCTCCCCTAGCAGCTACCCCCAACTGCCAGTCCCACCCCCCTTCCCCTGACAGTTGTTTGCTTTTTAAGAGGCAAGGTCTCACCGTTTTGCCTAGGTTAGTCTCTGACTTCTAGGCTCAATCAGTCCTCCTACCGTGACCTCCCAAAATGCAGGGACTGCAGGCGTGAGCCACCGCGCCCAGCCCACTGGTGTTTTTCTTTTTTTCTTTCTTTTCAGAATTTCATAGTTTGGATCTGGAAGCGGTTACAAAGGACCGAGTTGGTGTTTTCTTTAAAACGCTTTCTTTGTGTTTCCAAAATAGTTTTTTTTCTTTTTTTCCTGAGAATGACTGGTCTCACTCTGTTGGGCTACAGTGCAGTGGCACGATTATGGCTCACCACAGCCTTGACCTCCTAGGTTCAAGCGGTCTTCCTGCTTCTGCCTTTCACATAGCAAGGACCACAAGCATGCGCCATCACACCCGGCAATTTTTTATTTTTTGTCGAGATGAGGTCTCACTGTGTTGCCTAGGCTGGTCTCAAACTCCTGGATTCAAGCAATCCTCCCACCTTGGCCTCCCAAAGTTTAGGGATTACAGATGTGAGCCAGCACACATGGCCTATTTTGTATTTTTAAATTGCTTTTTTAAAAAAGTAATTATATGTAATACATGTAGACAGGTTTAGTGGTAAAAGAGGTAATTAAAAAATAGCATTTCCCAGACTTACCTCTCTGCTGACTTTCCATTCTTTTAGCTATTTTTTGTTATTTACCTCTGTATTGTTAATTTGTGCTCTCTCCTGTTGCATCATTTTTAAGAATTCTGTAATGATTTTATATTATGCTAGGACGGTGTTTCAGCCTCTTATGTGCCCTGTACTCCTCTGTCCTCCCACTGTTGGCAGCATAATTGTTTTTAAACTGCAAAACTATTGCTTTTGTTATGACCATGTAAATATTCTTTAGTCCTTAGCTAAATAAAGTAGCTCATTAGTGTGATAGCGATTCCATTCTTTATGACTTTCTGGTTTTCCTGTAGCTGGCTACTTCATTCTTTAGTACTTGCTTATTTATATTAAACCTTTAACCAAGTCTTCCTATATCATCAAGGAGGCCTAGATCCCTCTTACTATGATTTTACTTTATATTTTTTAAGTATTAGTTGAAATTAGGTAGCAAGTCATGTGTACCATTTTGTGATATTACAACATATGCTTTACTTAGTTTTCACTAGTTCTAGGCAGGAATTCCTTGTGCTTTTCATTCATAAGCAAATACCTTCTGTACATTTTATGCCAGATAATGTGCGGAACGCCAGAGATTCGGCAGTGAACTAAATTAAAACCTGCTCTTCTGGCACTTTCATTAAAGTAGAGAAGACCCACATTAAACAAAATAATTTAGTATGTTAGAAGGTAGTAAGTGCTGTGGAGAGAAACACTGACTCATTTTTTTGTGTGTTTTTTTTTAAGTCAATATCTTTTATTATGATTTTGTGGGGTACAGTTAAGGGTTAGGTGTACAATTACGTTTCATTCAGGCACCCTGTTGATAAGAGGTGTTTCCCCATCCCCAGCTGACTCAGTTTTGAACATGAAGTTGAATAGTTACACAGCACATGCTAGTTTTAGGAATTATTGGCTCGGTCTTTTTTTGTCATTTTGGTTTTTTGTTTGTTTGCTTTTTTAAAGAAACAAGGTCTCGCTGTGTTGCCCAGGTTGGTGTCTACTGCTAGGCTCAGGCAGTCCTCCCGCCTCAGCTTCCCAGTGCTGGGATTCGAGGCGTGGCCACTGCACCTGCTGACTTGGTCTTTAACGTGGATTTTTAAGCTTCACTTTCCCTTTATGATGTATTTTGCTGCCACGTAGTTCACAGCACAGTTATGATCATTGGTATTTGTAGAGCATTGTTCAGAGCACTAGCATCTTAGTTATGCTTTCCAGTGATGACGTCTGCTCTCACGTTATTCTTGATTCAGTGTGTTCGTCTCACCTGTACTTGTCGTTCATCTCGCACCTTAAGTGGGTTTTTGCTTTATTTTCAAGCAGATGACGGCGGCGCTACCCCAGTGCAGGATGAGCGGGATTCAGGGTCAGATGGTGAGGACGACGGAAATGAGCAGCACTCGGGATCCGACACTGGAAGTGCAGAGCGCCATTCAGAGGTATTCGCCGAGCAGCGTCTCTGGGGAGGCTTTTCGCTTGCGTTCTGAAGGCCATTGTTTCGAAGACTCGTAGAGTCCCTCTCACGGGCTTTTGGCTTCAGTCTTTGAGAGTAAGGAGTACAAATTAATAGAAGCTACTTGACAGATAGAGAAGTAGGACTGGTCTGGTTACTGATGAAATCACAGGGAAATAAATTCTGATTGGGTCACATTTTAACTGTTAGGCAGTTTTCCGTTGTACCTATTGATTCAGAAAACGATCCAGGCCTTTGATATTTGACTGAGTTTCCCTGTTTCTCAAATACTGTTGTCCTGGGGCAATGAACACTTGGAATCTGAAGACATGCCAGTTGAAACAGAAGTTATGAAGGTTATCAACTATCAAAGTTTATATCAGGGTTTAGACTTCTCATTTCGAGCTGTTACAGTGCATATAATGTACGCAATAACAAAACAAATGTAATTTTAAAAACTGGCATTGTTTAATAGTTCAGAGTAGTATTAGATCTTATGTACACATTAACATATTTGGCCTAATACATAAATATTTCCAAATTATTTAACTTGACTTTCCAGTTATACGATCTTTACAGTAGTCACAATATAAAGTTGGAACATTTTCCAGTAACTCAACCATAAGTCTTTGGTAGACACAAACTAAAACATGTAAGAATGATAAAGATGGACAGATTTTTTTTTTTTTTTTTTTTGAGTTGGAGTCTCACTCTGTCGCCCAGAGTGGAGTGCAGTGCCCGCTCCCGGCTACCGCAGCCTTGACCTGCTGGGCTCCGGCGATCCTTCCGCTTCAGCCTTCCGAGTAGCCGAAATTACAGGCACGCGCTACCACGCCCGGCTAATTTTTTGATTTATTGTAGAGATGAGGTCTCGCCTGCCCAGGCAGGTCTCGAACCCGCGGGCTCAGGCAGTCCACTCACCTCAGCCTCCCAAAAGCGCAGGATTACAGGCTGAGCCTCCGAGCCCGGCTCAGATTTTCATTTAAGGACTTTATATACCATATATTTTGCTTGATTATACATGCACAAAAAATTGTCCAGTTTTTAATAAGTAATAATTAGTATTATTGCCTTTGTCCTTTGACATGTCATCAGTGTATTCATGTTTAACAAGTGTTTGTTTATTGAGCACCTGCTGCTATGTGTCAGGGTCTTTTTTGGTGCTTTGGACATATCATAGACATATTTTGACTAAAAGTCAAAATCCTTCTCTTGAATTCATTTTCCAGTGGTAAGAAGGAAATATTAAGCAATATACATCCTTTTTTAAAAGTATGTAGTTTGTTAGAAGGTAACAAATGCTGTGGAGAAAGAAGAAAATTAGAACAGAGTGAAGGATACAGGGCTGGTTTTGGTGTTGAATAGGGAAGTCCATGTAGGCCTTATTAAGAAGGGACATTTGAGCCAATGCATGAAGGGAGGTGAAGGAATAGCCCTGCAGACACGAATGTGTGGAGGAAGAGCCTTCCTGGCAAAGGTAGGCGTTGCTCCATGTCTTCAGGGAACCTGTGTGTTTGGAGCAGAGTCAGTTAGGGTCAGGGAAGGCAGAGAACGAAATGCAGATGCAGAAAAAGCTCATCTCTTACATATCTTGATGTCAGTCCGGTTTTTGTATGCTCTTAAACATTTACAGTACATTTTAGTATATTATTTAATGATAGGTAGAAATCACTTGGTAATGCAAACATTGTTACAGTACATTTCCTGTGCGGTATTTTGTATTTCCACTTTGAAAACGACATCAGGAGATTAGCCAGCATGAACTTAGAACCCGTTCAGACAGCTGCAGCTGTAAATGTAATGTGGACTCACCTTTAAGCACAGTTTTTTGTAATGGTGTGGATTCTGCGTAAATAAATGTGCACGTTGTTGAAGATTTAGAAATCAGATAGTCTTGTAATAGTTTGACTTAAAATTTTCCAACTTGATGATGGTGCAAAGGTCATGTGAGTCTTTCCAAGTACTCATACAACCATTCGTTTTTTACTTTCAGTATAGTAGTTAGTAAATTACGTGAGATACACTCGACTCTTTGTTATAAAATCGGCTTTGTGTTAGAGGACTTTACCCAACTATAGGCTAATGTGCATATCCCAAGTATGTGTAAGGTAGGTGAGGCTAAGCTGTGATGGTCAGCATGTCAAGCATATAAAATGTGTTTCAGCTTGATATTTTCAACTTACTATGGGTTTATCAGGAACCAGCCCTAGCATAAGTAGAGGAGCCTCTATATAAAGTTTAAAGAACAAAACTAAAGTCAGCATACACTGAAATGACTATTAGCTTTTTGACTTTATTTCTCTTGCATTATCATTCTCCCTCATGTATATAACGTATGTATTTTAACTGACTTGAGATTTTACTATATTGTTTTGTATCTCTATATCTCTCTTCACATGATTATACGATATTTCCCCATGTCATTAAAAATTCTCACTAAGCATAATTTTTAATCGTTTTACAATATGGATGCAGCACAACCTATTCAATGGTTCCATAATTGTTGACATTTAGATTGTTCAGCTATTGTAAATGAAGCTGCCCTGAACATTTTGTACATAGACATTTGTGGTAATTTTTAATTGTTTCCTTAGGAAGTTTCTTAGAAAATTAACCAGATTAAAGAGACTGAGACATTTTAAGCCTTTTCGTAGGTACTCTCCTCTAGGAAGGACATCCACAGTTGCTAAACCACTAGGAGTTGGAGAGTGTCACTTGTACCTTTACATGTTAAGTTCTGTATTAATGGTCTTTTGCCTAAAGTGGCTTCTAAGAAGAAATTTTGCATTGTTTTCTCACCAAAAATATTTTTTGGAGGTTAGTGTCATGTTAAAAGAGTGCAGAAGCATTAAATGGAGCAGGGCAAATTAGAGGCCCAGCGCCTAAAGGATATGCATTCATTTCCTATTGTGGCAGTAACAGCTTGACGCCAACTTAGTGGCTTAATGCCACACAAATGTATTTTCTTACAATTCTGGAGGTAGGGCCCAAAGTGGGTCTCACTGAACGAAAACCAAAGGATCACCAGAGCTGTGTGCTCCTTCTCTGAGGGAGAATGTGTTTCCTTGCTTTCTCCCGCTTCTGAGGACCCCCGCGTTTCTTGGTGGAGACCCCTTCCTCCATCCTCAGTACCAGCAGCACGGCATCTTCAGAACTCACTCTCTGGCCTCTCGTTTCTGTCCTCATATCGCTGTCTCTTACTCTGGCCCTCGTATATCCCTCCTAGTCCCTTAGAATTATATTTGTCCTACCTGGATAATCTGGATAATCTTTCTATCCCAAGTTCCTTACCTTAATTACGTATGCACAGTCCCTTTTGCAGGTTAGGTAGCATCCCCAGCTTCCAGGGATTAGGACTTGGACATCTTTGAGGGCCTATTATTCTGCATACCGCAAGAGAGCACTGATAACATGGCTTTCCAAATAAAGTTCTATTTGCATTTTAGAATTTAAGCTAGCATTTTTTCTAGTTTATTTTATCTATGGAATTTACTCTGTACACATCTTTAGGTCTCCAAGGAATGCATACAAAGCACACACACACTAAGATAGTGGTCAGTATAAGAAATGATGTTTTGAAAAAATTTAGTGATCAAGATAAATAATATTTTAAAACTCAAAATTAATGCAAAAATAATATAAATAATAAAAAGACAAGTGATTTTATTATTTTTTTGAGTTGGAGTCTCACTCTGTCACCCAGGCAGGAGTGCAGTGGCACGCTCACAGACACCGCAGCCTCGACCTGCTGGCTCAGGTGATCCTTCCGCCTCAACCTTCCAAGTAACTGGAAGTACAGGCACGCGTGACCACACCCGACTAATTTTTTGATTTATTGTAGAGATGAGGTCTCCACCAAATTGCCGGGGCTAGTCTCAAACCCGTGGGCTTAGGCAGTCGTCTCAGTCTCCCAGAGTGCTGGGATTATAGGCGTGAGCCACCACACCCGGCTGGCTTACCTTTTAAAAAACTAGTTTTATCGAGATCAGTTTACATGGTGTATAATTCATCCATTTGAAGTATGCAGTTCAGTGGTCTTCATTAGTGTATTCAAAGTCCAGCCATATAGCCACAGTCAGTTGTAGACTGCTTTGCCACCGGAAACATAGACCCTGTGGCCCTTACGTTCCTGCCCTCCCCATGTGCCTCTTGCCTGCTCCTCCTTGCCCAGCCCCAGTCCTCCGCAGCCATTGATTTACTTTCTGTGTCTGCAGAGTCCCTGCTCTGGACATTCTGTACCAATGGAGTTACAAAATGTGTTCTTTGTGACAGTTGTTTCATGTAAGCTAATGTTTTCAAGGTATGTTCCGTTGCATGGGAATGCCCTATTTTGTTTATCCGCTTGTCGGTTGATGACATTTGGTTCTTTCTTTTGGCTATTATGAATAATGCTGCTGTAGACATTTGCATACAAGTTTTTTGGGGGCATATGTTTTCATTCTCTTGGGTGTGTTCCTAGGAGTGTAATTGCTGGCTCATAAGGTGACTGTGTAATCATTAGAGGAACAGTCAAACTTTTTCACAGTGCTTGCACCATATGACATTCACACCAGCTGTGTTTAAGGATTCTGATTTCTCCATACCCTTGACAACACTTGTTATGTGTTTTTTTGCATATAGACATCTTTAGTTGGTGTGAAGTGGTATCTCTTTGTGGTTTTGATTTGCATTTCCCTGACGACTGATGAGTATCTTTTTATGAGCTTATTGTCTGTCTGTATTTCTTCCTTAAAGAAATTTCCGTTTAGATCCCTTGTCCATTTTTAAATTGGACTGTTTGGTTTTTTGTTGTTGAGTTGCAATAGTTCTTTAAGTAGTTTGGATATGGGTTCCTTATTTGGTGACTGATTTGCAGATATTTTCTACCATCTTGTGAGTTGTGTTTTCACTTTATTTATGGTGTTCTTTGAAGCACAGAAGCTTGCAATTTTGTTGTAGCCCAGTTTACCTATTTTTTATTTTGTTGCTGGTGCTTTTTTAGTGTCA